TTGGGCCCACCAGCCTTTCCCTGTGCTGCTCCCTCCCTCACGGACCCCTGCTCAGACCTCTGCAGGCTTAGAGCCCTGCTCCTGGGGGTGGGGGGCGGGGGGGGGAGGACCACCGCCAGCTCCCTGACCCGCCTCCAGGGCTGGTCTGAAAAGTGGGACAGGGGCAGCTGGGAGGGAGAAATCTGAATTGTCAACCTCGCCCCGCCCCCGCCCTGCAGGGGAATCGGGGGTTCCCAGGCAGCACAGCCCCCTGGCTCTGGCTGTGGGCCCCTCACTCTGCCCCTTCCCAGGCAGTGACCCAGGGGCACGAGGGAGTGGGCTCCGTGGTGCAGGCGTAGCTGTTTGAGCCCCCACCAATCCTGGCTCCCGCCCTGGTTTTGTTTGCAGAGTTTGATAAATTCCTTGAAGAAAGGGCCAGAGCTGCTGAAATGGTTCCCAACCTGCCCTCGCCCCCAGCGGAGGCGCCCAGCCCAGCCGCCAACCCCTCCAGCCGGAGGAAGCCCACGCGCTCCGAGGACGCCCTCTTCGCCCTGTGAGCTGGTCTGTGGGTTGGCTCCCAGAAGGCAGGTCACCTGTCTCCCCCCATCCGGGCACCGGCCACTCCTCCCGTCCCCAGCCCCACTCAGTCCTCAGTCCTGTGCTGCTGTCTCCATGGAAATGCCACTGTGTTTGCTCCCAGGCCTCCCGCTAGTCAGGACAGCCTCTCCGGGGAGGTGGGACAGCTGCAGCCAGCGGGCCCCTAACCGCCCCCCACGCTCCCACCACAGGCTCCCCCACCGGTCTCCTCCCGGAGGGCCAGGTGGCAGGGCCCAGCCTCGGGCCAGTCAGTGCCCTGGGGACTGGCTCCTGAGCAGACACTGGGGCTGTCTCTCCTCCGGTCGCTTTCATCACTCAGCAGTGAGCCCAGACCAAGGCGCCCACACGGCCCACACTCTGCTGGCCGGGGGAGCCAAGGGTATGGGGAGGGCAGCCCAGGCCACTGGACAGTGGGTACCGGCACCTGCTTAGCTCCTGTGGAATTGCACTCCGCTGCAGCCCCACTGTGTGCTTCCCTCACGCAGTGCTCGTCTGGGGAGTGGCACGGGAGGTGTCACGCTGCTAGCTTGAGCAAGTTTGTGGGCCTGTGAGCATGCCATGCTTGGGGCTTTGGCCTGGCCTTGGCAGCCTCTGCCCTGCCTCCAGGCACCCCCTCCAGACAGCTGGGCCAGGCTGGCAGACCCAGAGGCCTGCAGGGCCAGAGCAGCACCAGGCTCCCGCTAGCTCCTGGCACGGCCCCAGCCTCTCCACAGGCTGTTCTGACATCCTGACCTCCCTCCCCAGACCCCAGCCACAATGTGTATTCTCTCCCAGCCAACCCAGCAGCTAACAGCCTGGGGCCGAGTCCTCGCTGGGTGTCTCCGGCCCTAGGTGAGGCGCACAGAGCCTGACCCACGCTGAGCACGGAACTGTGGCGCAGCAGCTCAGCGCCGCCCGTGACCTCCGGGCGCAGGTCAGTGTCCGGCGTGCACTGCCCAGGTGCTCGGGTCAGACATGGCCAGGCCACTGTGTGTCCCCAACCCAGGGCGGCAGCCTTTCCCGCCTGGGCTGCAAGTGGAGACGTGCTGCAGGCTCGGACCAGCCCGGGCCACGCTGAACACCCACAGGAACCTTCCTGGTGAGAAGCGAGGCGTGCCCCCCAGAGCCCATGCCCAGCGTGGTGCCGCTGCAGCCTCCTCCAGAAAGAAGGCTTTGGGGCCAGGCCGGGAGCCGTCTGGCAGGACCAGCAGGGGATGCGCCACTCCAGTCCTCAGAGGACACCCAGGAAGCACTGGGAGCTTGGCCGCAGCTTCCAGCCCTGCATCTCTGGCTGCACTCACCCCTGCACCCGGCGGTGGCACGCACCTCTCCTTGTCCGGAGGGAGAGCTCCGAGGCCAGCCTGGAGGCCACACGCCGAAAGTCTGCTGGCTGGTGGCAGTTGTGCCCAGCAGCCCCGCTGCGTCCTGGCCCGAGTCGGGGGCTCGGGCCACTCCTGCAGGAGCCACAGCGCCACCCTTGTCCTCAGAGCAGAGCCAGCCTCCTGTCTTGCTGAGGGGCTGAGGGAGAGGAGGCTGCCGGCGAGGGGAGCGGAAGCACACACCTGCCTTGGGAGGCGCAGCCCTCACTCCGC